GCTTTAATATATTTTTACGGTTATCCAGCCCGCTCGAACAGCTTCTTCCATTTCATTTCTTTTTTATTTTGAATGATGAATCCTGGCCGAAGAAATGCGACTCTCATCCGCTTAACGCCTGTACATTTAAATCCGCAATAATGCAGCCCCATATGTTGCATATTATGACTTCTGTTATGACTTCTTTTTGCAGCATTTTGCAATTTGACCGTACAACTTTGCAATTAACTAAGCAACCTGACAATAAATAAGAGATCCTTACTAGCTCGTGGTATTAGATTTAACTTGTCTAAAATCAGAATAAAACAAAATCACCCTAATATTTTGCGGTCTATGTACGATTTATTAGTTGGATTCCTATTTTATCAATGCTTTTAGGAATTAGTCTGTAGTCCAAAGTAGTATTTTATCGCACTTGCTAATTTACATAATTTTCTTAAGACTAATTCGTACGTAATTAAAAAAGGTAAAATTCTATATAGAAAGGATATAGAAACCTCCATACAAAATTAATTACTATAGTTATTCAGATATCGTGAGATGCGGTCGGGTGTGATGCAGGTTTCAGAAAAACATTTTCTTTATCGTGCCAACGTTTCGATCTTTTATTGAGATCATCTTCAGGGCCTGGGATTTACAAACAATGTTTACATTTAACAAATACATTTAGGATGTGGAAAAGAGAATTTATACAATGCAAAATATATTTTATATTCAAACAAAGTATTTCTACTCACTCAAAGTGTTTGTCTTCTGTGTAATTGTGCCATCCTTGCGTGTCGTGTTGAGAGTGCCAGTGAGATTTTGCTGTTTCATGTTTATATATGTTTGGTTTTGAAGGGGTGGGGAAGGAAGTCGGTATATAAAAGACAATTACTTGTCTTTAGTCTTTTATACACCGAATTCCTTCCCCACCCATTCAAAACCAAACATGTATAAACATAAATGAGCAAAATCTCACTGGCACTCTCAACAAGACACGCAAGGATGGCACAATTACACAGAAGACAAACACTTTGAGTGAGTAGAAATACTTTGTTGGAATATAAAATATATTTTGCATTGTATAAATTCTCTTTTCCACATCCTAAATGTATTTGTTAAATGTAAACATTGTTTGTAAATCCCAGGCCCTAAAGATGATCTCAATAAAAGATCGAAACGTTGGCACGATAAAGAAAATGTTTTTCTGAAACCTACATCACACCCGACCGCATCTCACGATATCTGAATAACTATCGATTAACGGTCACTAATCTCTACACATTAATTACTATATTATGGTATGATTTATTAGGTATGCGATTAGCTTAACTTCTTGTTAATATTAACATGTAAAATAACAGAATGTGTCCTGCCTGTTGCACCTCGATCTGCGCCCTCGTATGGCTACAGCTGGATCATCTAAAATATTGCTAACCGAGGTCCCGTAGACAGCATTATATGCTACTATCAAGGATTCACGCCATCCCAAGTCGCATACGTAGCCTCGCTAAGGAAGGACCCGTGATCCACTCCTACCAAGATTTGCAACCCGCTCCTGCTGAGCCTATAAACTGATGAGTACAGGGCTGGACGGGAGACTGTGAGTCAATGTCATAGGGATAGAGTTCAGAGGACATCTTCTGAATCTCGATTGGAGTGAGAGCACTAGTCGGTAATAGTGTCAGCAGAAATATAATCTGATTAAAAGAAATTGTAATCTGAGTCAGGGTAGAAATCGGTCTTGTACCAGTACACAGTAGGCCCAAAGGCGGGAAAGCAGACATAATGCTATTTATACGATGAAACGATCATCCCTCATTAAGTATGATACCAAAGCATTCTGAGATCAATTTTTTGCACAGAAAAAAAATTTTTAAGCCCCAAAGTGAAACTTTCTTATTCAAAATTGTGGACAAGTTAGGCTGAGTTTCACAAAACAATATTTTAACTTTTTTGCAATTTTAATATCATAATTTTTTTCTTTAAAGAACTTACTTTGCCATATTCACTAAAACATTTTGATCGTTAAATCTCTTTTATACACAGTGGTTACTGTTTTTATTTCTTGCAATATACAAATTCTGCAAATCATCGGGATCCATGTAAGTGGGTCAGAATTAATAAACTCTTGCTCCCACCGACTACCAGCGTGCACTTGAAACTCTTTTGAATGTATTTAATCATTTAAATTAATTATACTTTTTATCTAAGGTCTTGTTTGAGGTGAAAGATCCAGTGTCACGAGCGGGATTCGAACCACGACTTTCGGCCCAATAAGCGGCTGTTCTAGCCACTTGAACTGTTATTAGTGCAGCGGGGTATTGAGGGTCGTGGGTTCGATTTGTGCTCGTGACACTGGGTTTTTCATTTCAACCAAGAACGTAGATAAATGTATAATTAATTCAAATAATTTATGACTACTGTATGTAGTTAATAATGGTTTACAAATTTCTAAATTTTCAGAAAAATGTTATATTTTACTTTCTTTACTATGTTACTGCAGAATAAGGAAGAAGTAATAACTTCGTAATTACTATTTTTTTTAATCTATGATTTTAATAATCGATTTCGGGCAACAGCTACCGTTTTCTGCAGATGGCAAATGTTTTTGGTCAGGAGTACTTACATCCATTAATAAAATTACAAATAAAATAAAGTGGTTTTTTCTGTTGTAGTAATATTAGTTTGTACAACAAATATACTTAATAAATACTCGTTTACGTTTCCTTACGATGGGAAGAAAGGGGTAAATATTCAATGACATATACAGGTGAGATACATGTCACCACAAGCGCGAGATTGTGCTTTGTAGTGTAAGAAATAATGTATTTTATTTTAAAATAAATTAAAACATGACGTTGTGTAAAGAAACGTTCGACGCAGTTGACATAGAGATTATAGCGGTATTTACGATGTTTGCAAGATGTAACTCGTGTTAACTGGAATAGAGAAATGGCCAGTAAGATCCTGAACGCCCCCTTCTTTTCCTTCGCATGTTATCCGTTAATTTTTCCGCAATGCTGCGCGTGGCGATTGGTAGAAACCAAAATAAAGCTATAAAATTCCTTGACGGTTTTCTTTTGTGTTAAATTGTAAGATGTCAGAAGTTAATAAAAAAGGAAAATTAATCAGCACACAAGAAATAACACGCCTGCCGACATACCTAAATTGTATCCTAACGTCAAATAGCCTACAACTTTATGGAATAGGGGATGTATCTATTATGAATGAGAGGTTACAAGTTAACAAAAAAAATGTATTGGTCAGATTTAATTACCGCCTATTTAATAATAAAAATACGAGTAAAAAAAAACAGCTGTTAAATTCAGGCTGCCATGTTGGATACCTACGCCATAGCGGATAGCAATGTGACTACATTTTCGACCTAACATCTAACATTGGCCCTGGCCTGTTAGATCGAGCAATGTTTAGTCGATTTTAACAAGTCTACGTCATCATTTTTCTCGATGTAACAGGACCTAATAGAGTTAACGCAAAGATCGTGAATACCCCTAATGTCGCTTATCAGCTTAATTTAAAAAATGGGGTGGATTATTTGGAAAAGAGCCTTACAATATTAGTGAATAGAACTGTTTGAATGAAATGATTATTTGCTTAAAAAATTATCAGTAGTAATTGAAAATGACACAAAAAACTATTTTTTCGCTCAATTAGTTATAAGGGAAACAAGTGTTTTTACAAATTAAAAATTCAAACGTTAATCAAAAACTATTTCAAGTTTCATTGTTGAAAGTAGTAAGGGCACTCTCAACACGACACACAAGAATGACATATCTACACGGAAAACAAACACTTTGAGCCCTGAAGATGATCTCAATAAAGATCGAAACGTTGGCACGATAAAGAAAATGTTGTTCTAAAGATTAATTAAAGTTTTTAGTTGAGATAAAAAAGTCAGTGTCACGAGCGGAATTCGAACCCCCGACCTTCGACTTGATACGCCGCTACTCTACCACTTGAGCTATCGTGATCTCGATCCAGTCGGGCACCAACTTCCCATCTCAACCCCACCTTTTAAATTTCCCTCCTTTTTGCCATTTTTCAAATTAGCCGAAGGTGGTTCGTGGGTTCGAATCCCGCTCGTGACACTGACTTTTTCATCTCAACTAAAATTCTTAATTAATTGAAAGATATTAATTGGTCAAGCGGACCTCGACAATTAGTGAGTTTTTCTAAAACGTACGTCACACCAGACCGCATCTCACGACCTCCAAATATTCATTGGCTAACGGTCACTAAACACCACCCACATGTTTAAAGTAATAGTGAATTATGTTAGTTTTTTCGTCTTTAGCGCCAGAGAGTCACACACAGTGAGATGAGTCACCAGAGTCCGAAAGGTTTCCAGTTGTGACAGGAATCAGACAAGGTTGCCATTGAGCCTTATTCTATTCGTAAGATCGGGCTCATTCTAGGTTAGGTTAATATAAGCAATTGTTATAAAAACAACTAAACTATTTTGTATACAGACGGCATGGTCACAGAGGATCTTCATCTTCATTCCTTCTCCTGTTAGTTCATAATTTTATTTCCGTACGGGAACTTCTGTAATCTCAGTATAAAAATAAATATAACCAAAATTATGTTTTACAAAACAAAAGGAATGACAGAAATAGTACAGATAAAAATGGTTAATTCAGCTCTATATTTTAAAAGAAAATTTTTCCTGCCGTATTAGTATTATTGTTGTCGGTGACAGGTATGGGGGAATTGGTAGAAGGAAATGCTAATCTGCTTAACAAAACGGTTCTTATCTCTGACTAATAATACACCGTCAAAATTTTCGCATTTCAGAACGGTAGTATTAAAAAAATACACTTTTCACTTTCAGTCTAATGCTGCATTTTTAACATATCACAAGTTCACCTGTCACACTTGTAAAAAATGAAGTGAAATTTTTCTGGGCTTTTTTAACAAGCCATGGAATCTACCATATTTGTTTATTTTAATTTAACTGTATTATTTCATTAACTTTATTGTTTATTTGTTTTCAGACACGTCGGAATATCAGCGGTGTGCCAATGCGCCCCTGGTTTTACTGGGCCAACATGTGAATTCCCAGTTCCAATATCAGGTATTTTTATAAGAAAATCTTTAAACTTATATTTTTACTTTTATGCCTAAAAAATAATTAAAATTAATTGCTCAATAAGTAAAAAATACTAGTGGTTTTTTTTTCGTGGAAATATACTGCAGTCCCACATATCATTTGGTTCAATAATCGAAAGTGGCCGGGTCTTGTGTAACGAATCAATAAACCGCTCTGCCTTGTTTTTGTCAACATTAATTTTTGAGTTGTATTTAAAACGAAATCACAATGATGTGGTAAATCCAATTTACAAATATCGAATCTTGGTATATAAATTAATTTTTTTTAATGTTTTAAAAGATGTCGATTTTAATAATCGATTTAACAAATCTGAATGTAATTACTTTAGAGATGTGTGATGTCTGGCCGGATGGTCCGCGAGTCAGCGAACTTTAGACGGCTAGTGATCAATACTGTTCATCTTTGAGGCTGGCTGACGATGTCTATAGACTTATAAAGACATAATCCGTTCTAATTATGAGCTGTACAGCTAAAATATATTCTTTTTTTAATTTGGTTTAATTTTTACTTTAGTCTTATACGTATTTATTTAAAATATTTTATATATATTTTTGGAAATGTTTACCAAACCATGCCGTAAGTATAATTACGTATGCATTTTTTTAACGTCCAGAAACATAATTGATTAGCATTTTTTTACACATTATTAATAAATAAATTATCAATAATTTCTATTTCCTGAAACCATATCTTAATCATGATTTTCTACAATATTGAACAGACCAAGCCAAGTTTTTACAACCTAACGATATAGTAACCCAAATTTGTCCAATAAAAGGAAAATAAGTGGGCAGGTGTTGCAGAAGCGATTGTGCCATGTTTAGAGGAGGAGATTTTTCTCTTGTCGACAAAGAATGATTGTAAAAGTCGACGAACTTAAACCAAAATCGCAAACAAATGTGATACGACTATAACTAATGACGGGCGATATTTGAAAATATTTGATACCAATACTCGATACTGGTATCAAAAGATGTATTCGATACTACAGAAATTATTCGACACTAACGAGTATTTACTCATATGAGTACTTTTTCGTTTATTCATAAATGATCAACTTACTATTGTGGACTTTGGTTAAAATACGATCATGCGTTAAATAATCAAGAAATTGTAGGTTTTTTGTTTTGTTTTTTAGCTTTTTTTTATACAGTGGGTACGTAGGTAAGAACAAGGAAAAGCTACCAACACATGTCAACATAATTGATAGTTCAACTTTATCATCACCGAGTTTTGAGATAATTGATCAACGGTTGTTTGGTTTTCAAATGTTTGAAAAGATAAGACATATTTCCACTGTATTCCCCAGAGTTTTCAAGATGCCTACGATTCATTTTTCTTAGTAAAATAACCTCATGCCTTACTTTTGGTTGGAGACATTAGGTATCTACCTACGAGAAGGAAGGTGAACACATTTTAAGAACTTGAAGGCAAAAACATTTTATAAGAAATTACTGAAATTGAAAGTGCGAGGTGCGACGCGGGAAAGAATTGTCAGCAGAGTTAATCACCAATTCGAAATCTCGATTAACTTTGTTGACACATGCCGCTAGTAGGCGCTGTTACCAGTAAGTTGTCAATGCCCATTTTGATGAGAGGTAAGTTTCGAACAATTAAATATTACTTGAACACTCTACGAAAAATCTATTTGAGTATATTTTCCGACACTACAAAAAGTATTCGATAGGACCAAAATTTCTCAGTAACGAAAGAAAATCGATACTGTACTCATATCGATTGGTATCGCATGTCACTAACTATAACATCCATTGTATGGTGTCTTTTCAACGCTATTGTTACTTGTTCCAAATATTGAAGAATTCTTCAATTTGTAACTTTATTTCTGTTGATGTATGTATACACATCGTTAAATATTTCGTCATATTGACCAAAACCGAGAAGGCGAATCGCGAGATATCTCCGTGTTGCTTTAAAGGTAATGAATCTGTAATTTGGTTGTTTCCGGCCATTTTGTATGCTTATACTCGCCGAGTTGCTCTGCTAGGCGCTTTCAACATTTTGTGGGTTGGTTTTATAAAAAGGTTTTGTCTTGTGAATTGGTGGTTTTCAGTGCTCTTAGAATGTAAGAATAAATTTGAACCAGTGTTGTGCTGATGTTGCATGGAAGAAAAAACAGCGGTGGTGGGAGAGCTTTGCTTGTTGGGTTACTCCTGGGCGGCGAAAAGCTACACAAAGGAGCCGTTAAAAAAGCTTTCAGATCTGATTAAAAAAATAATGTGTGGCGGTTAGTGATCGTTAATCGGTAATTATTCAGAAATCGTGAGATGTGGTCTGGTGTGATGTAGGTTTCAGAAAATCATTTTCTTTATCGTGCCAACGTTTCGATCTTTATTGAGATCATCTTCAGGGCCTGGGATTTACAAACATTGTTCACATTTAACAAATAAAGTAGGATAAATATAATATAATATAAAATATAATTCAATTAATTCAAATAATTAAATTTAAAAAAAATATATATATATATAACGATAAAGAAAATGTTTTTCTGAAACCTACATCACACCAGACCGCATCTCACGATTTCTGAATAATTAAAAAAATAATAATGGTGATGTGGTAATAAAGCATTTGTCGTCGTCAATAAGGTCGTAAAGAGACTTGTTTTAACCAAACCTGCATCGTAACCTTATAATTTTATTGAACGAATATTTTAGTTTCTTGGCAGTTTTTATAATTATGTCAAAAAAAGTTTTTACTGTTGTTTATTTTTGCTTTAGATTCTATATTTTGTGTAAGAAGTTCAGATCAATGATTATGTAGACTGATGTTGTTGATGATGTTTACTACGGGGAGAAATCAATAAAGCGTAACGTTGTATTTGGCCACAATTTCCGATTTGGAAGGTTTGTTCTGAGTTTTATAAAACTATTTCGAAAAGTATGGCTAAAATTACGTTATTCATCCTTTCTCTGCTTCTCTATTTTTGTAGTAACTATTTGTTCGTCGATGGTACAGTTGTTTTTCTGTCTTCATCTGCATTACGTTTAATAGTTATGCGTATTCCTTGTTGCATTTTTTTCTACACCTGTTATGTTCATATTTTCATTTATTGGATAATTAGAATAAACGAGTGTTTAAAACTTAATAAAAAGTCGCAAAAATTAATTTTTCTTTTTTACAATTAAAGGTTTATTCCTACTGGACTCAATAAATTTTCGAGAGCTATTGTTGACAGTAAGTCATTAACTGTGTCCTGAAGAAAAGTTTCATGTTTCATTAAAAGGAGAACAGAGAACTTATAAAACAAGCCCTCTCCTTTCACCCGTCAACAGAATCTTAAGTATCATAATTCAAGAAAGTCAAGCTGTTACTAGCGGAAACTTAGATGATTTTTTCATTCTAAGTGGAAAAAGAAGAGATGAGGTGATATGTAACGATCGGTTATACCACGGCCACTCTCGAATAGAAAAATAGTTCTGATTGAACTAAACATTTTCTTATTGCTCTATATATTACATATAGATTATTATTTGTGGAATTATTTATTTCAAGTGGTTAGTACTTTGTTTACAGTTGTTTTTAGATCACGGCCACTCCAGATCTCCTTCCTTATTTTTACCTTTGCCGATGACACATACTCACTTCCGATAAAGTTATAGCATCACATTATTTACAACGTCCTTACACATACTTGCATACTGGATCCGTCAATGGAGAATTAATAAACTAAATCTAAATGAATAATTTTTCCCCCCCAAAAAAAACTCTCTTCTGTATCATTCGTTCTGTGCTGGTGTTCTTCAGTGTAGCGTTTTGGCCCATATACTTTACCACCTTATATTTCATATCCTTTTCCATTCTTAAACACGACCCTCACCATTGCGACGACGGCGATCCTCTGTTTTTTGCGCTGGACTTCCACAAGGTCCTCACACAACCGGTTTCTTAATTCGTTAAAAAAAAAAGTAAATCCATTATATTTCGTGATCCTATGACTACAACGTTCTTCCTATGGCCTCTAAGAAAGGAGATAAAAAAAGTACTTTACGTAATATTCTTTAGATTTCGTGGTCTGACTGGCCAAATAACATGTTTCAATTAATTAATCTTTATGTAAGGTATTGGTTGAAGTGAAAAAGTCGGTGTCTCGAGGGGGATTCGAACCCATGACCTTCGGCTAAGTACGCCGCTGCTCTACCACTTGAACTATCGTGACTGCGATCCACTCGGACACCAACTTCCCATCTCATACTACCTTTCGAATTCCCTTCTTTTTGCCATTTTTCAACTTTTTCATTTCAACCAATACCTTTCAAAAAAATTAATTATTTAAAAAAAGTTCTTTGGTGAATCGGATCACGAAATATAATGGATTTAATAAGTAAATCTTCACTAAAGCTTTCCGTGGCCATTTCATTTGTCGCCGAGAATCGAATCCTAAATACACGACATTTGAAAACTTGCACTCCGAGTAGATCGAAGTCACGATAACTCAAGTGAGAGAGAGGCGACGTATTTATCCGGAGGTCGTGGGTTCGAATCCCGCTCCAGACACTAACTTTTTCATTTCAACCAGTACTTTACATGAAGATTAATTAATTGGAAAAAAGAGTAATGTTTAACGCGGAAAAATCCAACCAACTAAAATTCACTCTCTGCAAAAATATACCTCCTTTAGTTCACATCAACGACCTTCCCTATAAATGCGGACAAAGTTCGTTCCTAGGACTGTACAGAGAAAATCGTTTTACGTTGAACTTCAACTCACCACTTCAAGAAGGTATAAAACAGAGCTCTTTCGCGATTTCTTGATAAACATTATGACAGCTCTCACGCATAAAAGCTACATTATAACAGCATAGTTCAGCTGATATTAACATATTGACAGGATGTAAGGAGTTTTGCCAAACACGCCAATATCAGTCTGGATCTGATGTCCAATCTCTTGGACAATATTTGGTCAGTTTTAAAGGATAAAACAAAATAAAACGCATGTAAAATCCCCCATTTGTGTTTACAATTCTATTTTGTAAATATTTTTTATAAAGACTATTTTCTTGCCTCTCACTGTATTATTATACAAGAATGGCTTAACAGAAGATTGATGTTTTCTTATTTGACAATAATACTACTCTAAGGAGAGATTTTATCAGCGGAAATTGAGCTACCTATGTTCAACGCTGAATAGTGGATGGTGGGATCATTTATACTGGTTTTTCACCATTTTCACCTCCGTAACCCATGAAAGTAAAATGTTTGTAATTGATTATTATAACATAGTGGTTAATATTTCAAATTTTTTTATTAACTTTAAGTTTTATGTTTTCTTATATTTCGACCTCAACAGTTAGTCTTATGATTTTTCCTTCTTAAAAGGTGGGATAATAGGTCATCTCAAAAAACCACAACCAGTTTTTATCCACAACGTTTCGGATTTATTTTAATCCTTCCTCAGGTGAGTTAACGCCTGTACACAGAACAAATATTTTTTTACATTTTTATATCAACATGGTTATCATTGTTTCTTCACTACTTACAATGGTTAAAAAATTGGTCGTCAGTCATTAATATTTTATAACAGTTCATTTTAAAAAAGAGCCAGTGTGGTACTTATTCAGACTAGAATCAAACGTTTTAATATTTTGAACCCCCAACGAATTAACATGAAAAATACCACTCAACAGTTAAAATTGCATTTAACTTGCAAGTGATAAGTGATATCAATGATAGGTGATTGCTATTTTTATTTCTTAAACAATATATAAAAATAATCTAGTCAATTTTAAACTCTGGAGGAGACTTAAAATCTGTGATAGTTGTGATAATAATTGTTAAAATATTGTTAATAAAATAAATAAAATTTGTAGTTTAAAAATAGATTTATAAGAAAAATGCAGTTTTAACTGTTGAGTGGTATTTTTAATGTTGATTCGTTGGTCTGTGATAAGATATTGATAAGAGGTCGAACGTAACATGAGAGGTTGTGATAAGAGACTAGTCTGGTTCAAAATATTAAAACTTTGTTTCTAGTCTGAATAAGTACCACACTGGCTCTTTTTTAAAATAAACTGTTATAAAATAATAATGACTGACGACCACTTTTTAACCATTGTAAGTAGTGAAGAAACAATGATAACCATGTTGATACAAAAATGTTAAAAAAAAAAAAAACTTGTTTTTGAGATGACCTATTATCCCACCTTTAAAGAAGGACAAATTATAAGTTTAAGTTTTATTTTATAAGCAAAGTTGTTTTCTTCAGTCACAACGAAGGTTTTTTGGTCAGTTGAGATTTTCGAATGAAAATAAGATTATACAACTTTTAAACAATAATAAAACATAACGTTTAAATTCTGATTTAACACTATCTCCTACTACACTTCAAATGAAACCGCTTTTTCCCTTTTCTTCTAAACTCGCGAGGATTTGGAAAATATTCTCCAACTTGTTACAGCATTCTTCCATTATGTACAACCAAGCTTGGATCCTAGTAATGATGAAAACAAAGGTAAATATCTAATTTAAAACACAGATACCAGCTAAAAACTGATTTAAATTTTACTCACAAAGAACAGCTGGAACTTAACGAGGTCCTACATTCTTTGGTCTAACAAGCTCAAAGACTTTTTCCATGTTTGTACAACCATTTCAACTGGATGACCTAGAACTGGAGCAATTCACACTATATAAAGAAACGCATTAATAATAATGATAATAAATTTATTTTTCAAAGGCTGCAGATACAACAAATATGCTTTTGGTCGCATTTGAGACGTTTCATAGAAAAAAAATTACGTAGAAACATAGATGGGTAGTAAAAGATATAGAGAGATAAATAGAGAGATAGATAGATAGATAGAGAGAGAGAGAGGGAGGGAGAGAGAGAGAGAGAGAGGGAGTGAGTGAGTGAGGAAATGGGAAAGAAAGAATAAATTGATGAATATCGTTTATTTAAAAATCCCAGAAATTTAGGTCGCTAATGACCTCTCTTACAATGAACGACAAACGAGAGAGGAGGGAGAGAGCGAAAGAAAGAGCGCGAGAGAGCGTGAAAAAGAAGGAGAGAGGGAACGTGAGAATTAGGGAGAGAGCGAACGAACGAGTGGAATGGGAAGGAGATGGGGAGAGGGGAGAAAGAGAGAGAGAGAGAGAGAGAGAGAGAGAGAGAGAGAGAGAGAGGGAGAGAGAGAGAGAGAGAGAGTGAGACGAAACAGAACACAAACATAAAAGTTCTAATGAAACAAAATGACATAATTACAAATGAATGTCGCAAGTTTCGAATAATAAAAATTTAAAAGAAAAAAATAATAAAAAGAGAACAGATAAAATAAAACCAATTGCTGAGAACAAGTGAAAATATTTAAAAATTGAAATGCTGTACTAGAAAATATCTATAATACAACGCAGTACGTGCAAATGTAATGAGAAGTCGGTAATAGCTGTCCCGCGGCCAATTAAGCTGGCATTCAGCAAAAGTGGATGTGATCAGTTACCGTACCCAATATTCGGAAAATAATGGACATATGGCCATTTTCTGTCTTTTTTCGCCTGTAGCTTACTGAAAGAGCAAAGGATAATTTTTCGCTTCACACTCGGTTTGTCGAGAGATTGAACCATCTTGACTTTCTAAGAGAACCTGGCGATCAATTTTGCATAGAAAACGACCCTGATTAAAACTTTACTTTCTTATAAAATCATAACCCGGACGAGGATGTGGCGACAAAAGCTGCTTCTTTCAAAGAAGCGAGACAGAAAAGTTAGGTCTAGGTTAGCACGAACACTTTGCGAAAGACTGAAATAATTTTTGAATGATGAAGTTTTCTAATTGATTTCTTCAATTGTCAATATTCTTTGAAGACTAAGAGTTGGAAAATCTAAAAGATAAACGCAACAAAAGTCAAACAAATGTCACAATAATTCTATTGTGATTATTTTGCATAAGAGGAGACAATTCCAAGTAGACTTAAGTTTTTTTTAAGCAAAGAGCAATATTTTTTAGGTCTAGGATACTAATGTATTTGCATGTACCGGCGTTACTTATATTATTTAGGTGATGAAGAAAGGTTTCAATTTTTCAGAATGAAAATATTTAATTTTAAAATTTGTTAATCTTCAGTCTTAATGATCTATCCTATGCTTATTTGCATCAAAACACATTTTGGAATAGGCCAGCGTCTTATCTCGCATTTATTTCACACCGGTCCACCTACAATTTATGCCTTTCGATAAATTTCGAAATGAATTAACTTTATACGGCATCTGGAACAGGCCCCGCTTACCGGAATGGTCGCAAAGTTTGCAGACAATCACCGCCATATTAAGCCTGGGACGATTTTATGTGTCAATAAATTTGCAACGAGATCATTAACGTTGAAAGTTCATATTGCGGAACTCTCTGCGCCGTATACATGGTGAGCAATGGTTGACGTAAGCTTTTATTTACCTCTATTTAAAAATCAATGTAACTTCAATTAATCAACAATCTTTTTTTATGTTAGATTATGAAGTATTCATTTTAAAATAAATTTATTTACTGCGTTTATAGCCATAAAATATTTTAATATTGTAAAGAAATACCAAAACATTTACAATTGAAGAAATTAATACAGTGTTGTTTGTTTCGAAGTTTTATAATTTCGCCTTCGTAACATAATATTTTTTCTTCTTAGGTGCTAACGTAATGACCTGGAAAGTCTTTTATAAATTCTGATTTGGCCTGCATAATCCTCGAACCATTTTCATAGTATGGCCCAGCGTTGCCGGCATGGCGTAATCATATTATTTCCACGGGTTCTAATGAAAGTTAGTAATTAAATCCCAGTATTTATATTAAACGTAATTTCCCTCCTTTCGAATTTTTACTCCGCCCTTTTCGTTTTTTTCTTACTTCCCTCGGCATGTCTTAAAACTTTTATACAAGAAGACATTAAATAACTTTTCAAGAAGTCCCTTCGCCGGAGGAGCACCCACACAAATTAAAACCACTAGTGAAACTGAAACTTTTTTTTTTTTTTTTTTTTTTTTTTTTTTTTTTTTTTTTTTTTTTTTTTTGAAGTTGCATTCAATTGATTTTATTTCACATTTCAGACTGTGAAGGAGACGACGATATATGCTCACCGCAGTGCCAATTCGACGGGAGACAGGAAAATGTCTGCAATTGCGACAGCCAAAACGCTCAACGTGTTTCATCAGGTAGATTTATCACCAATATATATAACAATAATAATTTAAATTAACAAAATATACCAACAGCTGAATAATTGTTACCCCTGCAAATAATAATGTAATTAGTTCAATAACAGATATCAAGTTGTGGTTTCGATATTCTCTCTATTAGCCCGAGGGTTGCATCTAAATGGGGCATTGGCCTGTATTATCATGTCTATGTTGGCGTACCTTTTCCACCATGTCACTATTAATTAATTGCGGCTAATCATTAAAATCAGACATGAATCATTATGTGTAATGAAAGGAACATTTGAACGAATAATAACCACTTACATTTAAGCTCCTGGAGACATCTGTACTACGAAGCGATATTTAAAGTGACATTTCTATCCTTTTTTTAATTAATGCGTTTTTTTTTTTTTTTTTTTTCTGGGGCTTCCGACTTCTAGGTCATTTCAGCCCCCAACTAAGTCTATATTCTATATTCTAAACCTTTTCAAACACTACATTCATCCAAATAAATACATTCATACACTTAAATACATCCATACAGTACACTCATTCCGTTTGGTCGGAGGAGTACTTGATATTCCTCCACCGACCTATACTTAAACTAAACTAGATTGGGGTCGATGGAGTACTTTTATAAATATTCCGCCATCGACACCGAACACACACTCTTACGCTATCAACGTTCGAGGGGCGATGATGATGTTATATTTCACCCTCACCCCTCGCCATTCACGTTAATAAATACATGCACTCAGATAAAACATACAGACACAACACATAAGACATATTATAAACAATAAAAAAAACCAATTTCCCCTAAAAAGCGGAACAGGGGACTCTAAAACTCGCTACCGTGCTCGAGAACTTTTGTTAAGTCCGGCGGCATGCCTACACGCTCTCTGTATGGAGCAAAGGCATGACACGCCTCTATTATGTGAGACACATCAAGCAACCTTTCTCTTCATAAGGGGCACCTGCGCGATCTTTGGCCTAAAAACTGGTAACCATGTGTCAACCGCGTATGGCCAATCCTCAGTCGGGTGAGGACGATCCCTCGTCTCCTGCTCAGGCTCTATGAGGGCCATCTACCGGTCGTGCTCTTGACTCGCAAGAGCCTCTCCGACGACCCCGCTCACTGACGCTGCCATCTTTCTTTTATCATATTTTTCACCCCGTGTTTAGCGTCAGGGTCAGGATCCGGAGGGTGGGCGTACCGGCTTTCTCCGCCTCGTCCGCGCGTTCGTTTCCCTCCAGGCCGACTTGTCCGGGAATCCAGACAACTACCACCGTGTTTCCGAGTGACTCCAGCTCCGCATATTTCACTAACATTAATGCGTTATTAATAATTTTATAGCTATTATGTGCACGATAAGCTTTGATGCAATTGAACACTTCTATATATTGACATGTGTAGTATATGACACATGATTGAACAGTCGATACTTTAACTTAGCCTTTATCAAATATTTGTTGGTTTCGAATTCAAGTAGCAAACATAGTTCTTGGATATTAAACGTATGTTTGACAAAGTGACATTTTCGGTTTGCACTTTTCACTTCAACTTAAAACGGTTTATCTCCCTAAATACCTGTTTGTTCAACCATACTGCATCAAAATTCTACCTGTAGATATTATTAACGCTCACTATCGATGGGAAAAGTAAAACTAATGGAAGGATAAGACTAGCGTGATGTGTCACGGATTTGGCCCAAACGTTTTTTGGTAATTCTACCCTATAAAATATCGGACACGTATCCATCAGTTCTTGTGAATACGCCCACGTGTCGCTAAAAAATTTAAAGTAAAATTTTTCTTTTTTTAATATTTCTATTTCGCCGTTCAAATCAACTATGGAAATAAATCATTTTACAACATTTTTTGTGTAGAGTACAATAAGAATGTAAAAAAAGTTATCAAAGTATATCAATAAAAAAATTTCTAAAAACCAAACTTTTCAAGTAAACTTGGTCATAATTTTTCTGAAGCTACAAAGTGTTTGCTCACGGTCCAATCTAGCTTATTTATTCAACCCGTAAACTTGTTACGTTGGCAAATTTAAGTTGAAGCATTAATTTTTTTCTGTTTGGACCATCTGAAAACGTGTTCTATTTGTTCCCTTCTTGATTGTTGGTCATCATACGGGCGTATAAATTAGGAAAACCTGGTTCTCTAGTCGTATGAGCAAAAATACTCATCTTTGCTCTTCAAGGAGCACTTATGTTTTCGATTTCTTCTTCCTTAGCCAGAAGTTGTTCATGCTGTGAATTATTTTTCAAAACCAAGACCTATTATAACTTGATATTAATTATATTAGTGAGAACCTACCGAAATGTTATGCGTTCTGCTTGTTAAATAAGATTATTTGGAGATCGTGAGAGGTCTGCTGTGAAGTAGGTTTAGAAAAACATTTTCTTTATCGTGCCAACGTTTCGATCTTTATTGAGATCATCTTCAGGGCTCAAAGTGTTTGTTTTCCGTGTAGATTTGTCCGTCATTTGTGACGTGTTGAGAGTGCTTTTAATTATTATATGGAAATCGTGAGATGCGGTATGGCGTGATACAGGTTTAGAAAAACATTTTCTTCGTAGTGCCAACGTTTCGATCTTTATTGAGATCATCATCAGCGCTCAAATGTTTGTTTTCCGTGTAGATGTGTCCGTCTTCTCTGTCGGGTTCAGAGTGCCTTTAATGATTATTTGAAGATAGTGAGACGCGGTCTGGTGTGACGCAGGTTTAGAAAAACCTTTTCTTTATAGTGCCAACGTTTCGATCTTTATTGAGATCATCTTCAGGGCTCAAAAATTTGTTTTCCGTGTAGTTGTGTCCTTCTTCTATGTCGTGCTGAGGGTGCCCTTAGTGGTTATTTGGAGATCATGAGACGTGGTCTGGTGTGACGCAGGTTTAGAAAAACATTTTCTTTATAGTGCCAACGTTTCGATCTTTATTGAGATCATCTTCAGGGCTCAAAGTGTTTGTTTTCCGTGTAGAGGTATCATTCTTGTACTACTTCTTGAGAGTGCCTTATTTGTTTTTAAATAAGGTCACAAAACATGTTGATTTTTGAATCATAACGATTTTTGTCCTCATTTTACTTTTGACAATACTTTTGGAAAAACGTATCTCTTAAAGCTCTCTTTTAATTGTGTTTTTTTTTTTTACATTTTGCTAACTAACAATGCTTGCTAGGCAAACTTATATTTAAATTAATAAAAAAACTTTTTAATTTTGTGAAGAGATGCAAATTCGCCAATTAATTAAGTTAGGTTTTCTTAATATAAATTCTTAAAAATGTATAAAAACAACAAATTGTAAATTATATATTTGAACTGGAACCACGGCTTTTATCTCATCATTAACTATTATTAGCATGTAGTAATCTCAAGTTATGCAAAACCCTCAAGACGGACGGACAGTGCGTTAGGGTAGAACGAGCGCTTAAGCGGTATGCTATTCACTGAATATTGCCTTCTCCCCTGTGCTTAAACAACCTCACCCCGCAAACCCCTTCATGGAAAGCAATGTTCATTAAAGCAACTTAACGTGAAGGCTCATCATAATTTCAGGATCAATTGAGAATCGCTTAAGGACCCGAAGCAATTATGCAGGAATTAGGATTTGCTGAATATTATGTTCAACTACTAGGCCTTGTTATAACATGAAATTTACGTTATTTCAATCCTCTCGCTTACCTTTAAAAACAACGTTTTATTTTGTATTTTCTTTAATTGTTGGAGAAACCTTTCTCCGTCGAAGCACAGCTAACAAGTTCGAAACTACATCGAACGACAAAATGTACGTATATTTGGAACTTAGGACGCAAAACAAAACACTTTATGATGGCAAACTCATTAACTCTCGGGTAAACATTAACCGCATTGCCGGCACCACCGTAACATTAATAAACACAAAAACCCACTTAATAACCGTGAACCATCCGTAATCACGTCCAACTAGCCTAGCAATATTTTCACATTATAATGAATAATGCAATGAAAATGCTGTAGATAACGTGCAGCATTGTAAATCGTACATTTTATTTATGCTAATTGCGCAATAATAAGATCTACGAGTAAAATATTCACAAAATTTGTGGCTTGTTTTACAATAAACTAGAATAGGTTTTGAGTTATTCAGACAATATTGTATTAAAAGATGTATATAAAAAACAATATTATATATGTCTTGATAGTACTGTTATTCTTATTTCTAATCAATGGTTGATATTAAAATGAATTTTTTTATTGTCTTTGGAATAAGCGAGGGTTAAAATGAAAAATAATTTTTTTTATTTAATAAAGAAAAGTCTGGTAATACTGGGGCGCATGTCAGTTAATATCTAAAATGAAATAAACAAACAAAATTCATTTTCATTTGATGACATCTAATAAAAACATCATAATGATTTCTGTGACACAAGAAATAAAACCAAAATTTTCCAAGTAAACTTAGTTATAATTTTTCTGAAGCTACAAAGTGTTTGCTCACGATCCAATCTAACTTATTTATTCAACCCGTAAACTTGTTACGTTCGAAAATTTATGTTGAAGCATTAATTTTTATTCTGTTTGGACCACCTGAAAACGTGTTCTATTTGTTCCCTCCTTGATTGTTGGTCATCATACGAGCGTATAAATTAGGAAAACCTGGTTCTCTAGTCGTATGAGCAAAAATTTTCATCTTTGCTCTTCGAGGAGCAGCAGGTTTTTCGTTACTCAGACAATATCGTATTAAAAAATGTATATAAAAAACAATAATATATGTCTTGATAAAATTGTTATTCTTATTTTTAATCAATGGTTGTTATTAAAATGAATTTTTTTATTGTCTTTGGAATAAGCGTGGGTTAAAATGAAAAATAAAATTTTTTATTTATTAAAGAAAACTCTGGTGATACTGGGGCGCATGTCAGTTAATAACTAAAATGAAATAAACAGACAAAATTCATTTTCATTTGATGACATCTAATAAAAACATCATAATGATTTCTGTGACACAAGAAATAAAACAAAATT